ACCACCTGTAGGCAACCATTCAGCTCAGAAACTTTATTGGAGTGCTAATACAGTCTTCACTACCACCAGAACTAACCTGCACGGCCACCTGTAGGCAACCAGTCAGCTCAGAAACTTTATTGGAGTTCTAATACAGTCTTCATTACCGGGTTAGCCCTTGTGTTCTTTAAGGAACCTTGACTGTTTTGATCATGTAGAAAAGTGGACTTATTGCTTTGGGTAAGCTGCAGCCAAATTTGAAGATAGCAGAAATGAAATGCTTTGCATACAAAGCAAGATAACTAATTATGCTGCATTTCTGTTTGTTATACAATAGGTCCTGGGTCCTACTGGATACCAACTACAATATCTACCTGTTCCGGGAGGGAGTACTGAGGACCGCATCAGAAAGCTATAATGCAGACGACCTTGACGCAACCCTTGGACATCTGACCAACCACTGCCTACAACTTGAGTTATCACCAAACTTTGGCGCATATGAGGAGGGAAATGAGATGTTTTATGATGAATTCAACAGGTATTTTTTCTTTAAATTTAAGGGTATATGTAATCTTATATATTATATCTGTGATTTTATTTAGAGTTAGTTCCCTTGTTTTTGATTATCTCCCCATAGTATGACAAATAACCTTAAATAACTCAAGTGTCATCTGTATTTGCATGTATTCCTGTGTATTTTTAGAGCCCATCATCACCATTGTCCATCTGTCCTTCCATCCGTCCGTCCGTAAAGCAATTCTTTTTAGCGCTATTTCTAAGAAAGTGCAGGAGGGATCTTTCTCAAATATTGCATGAAAGTTACCAACGGTTCATAGTTATGCATATCCAATTTTGGGACTGATCAGAAACCAAGATGGCCGACAGAGAAAAGACGGTAAAAGATCATCTTTTGTAGATCTGGTAAAGATCCTTTCATGGTGTGAGCCAAGATCCTTCTAGGTTGAAGGCTCAAAGATCACACTTGACTACTTCTGAAGAAAACATCTTTTGAACAAGATATCTCAACAACATATTTAGGTTATATTTACACCATAGTGTGGTAATATCAAATATATTGATTCACCAAATTGTAAAACACCTGTTATTTTTAGCTCACCTGCCCAAAGGGCAAGTGAACTTATGTCATGGTGCGGCGTCAATCGTCCGTCCTCGTCCATCAACTTTTCCTTTAAACAACTTCTTCTGAAGAACATGCAGTCCTAGAGTCATGTTATTTGAGTAAAAGCTTTGTTTGTAGAAGCCTGACAAAGTTTGTGAACGAAAATGACCTTGACCTACTTTCAAGGTCACAGAAGTCAAATATGTCAAACACTTCAAATGACTTCTTCTGAAGAACTAAAAGGTATAGAATCTTTATATTTGGCTGGTGTCTTCTTGGGAAAGAGCCTGACAAAGTTTGAATACGAAAATGACTTTGACCTACTTTCAAGGTCACAGGAGTCAGATATGTCTAATGCTTAAAACGACTTCTTCTGAAGAAATGAAAGTTATAGAACCGAAATATTTGGCTTGTATGTAGCTTTCTGGGAAAGAGCCCAACAAAGTTTGAGAATGAAAATGACCTTGTTCTACTTTTAAGGTCACATGAGGCAGATATGTCAAACACTTAAAACGACTTCTTCTGAAGAACTTGAAGGTATAGAACCTAATATTTGGCTGGTTATTTCCTGGGAAGGAGTCCAACAAAGTTTGCGAATGAAAATGACCTTGACCTACTTTCAAGGTCACAGAAGTCAGATATGTCTAACGCTTAGAACAACTTCTTCTGAAGAATTAAAATTGATAAAATTGATAAAATTATAATATTTGGCTGGTGACTTCCTGGAATAGAGCTCACCAAAGTTTGCGAATGAAAATGACCTCAACCTATTTTAGAGGTCACAGAGGTCAACAACATTTTAAAGGATTTGTTCTCAAGAACTAAAAGGAATGGATTCATAAGATTTGGCTGGTAGCATTTTGGAATAGAGCTAACCAATTTGAGAAGGAAAATGACATTCACCTACTTACAAGATCACATGGGAAAATGTGTCAAGCAACTTCTGAAGAAGAATCAAAAAGCATAGAATCTTTTAATAATATTCTGCTGGTAGTTCCAACAGATGGAGCCAACAAAGTTTGCGAGGGAAATATTTTTAGTGCAATATAATATTTAATGAGAATAGTTTGCTATGACTGCTTAAATATTCAGGTGCTGGAAAAAGTAATGTTTTATATTCTTCCCATTTCTGTCAGATAACAAAAGGAATTTTCTTCAAAATTTGACTTCTATCGGAACAAGATTAGTCTGCATATACAGTAAATGTGTGATGGAAAGACCTGAACAGTTTCCAACTGGACAACATGTCAATTATATGGGGGATAGCTAGTTCTTTCTGTTATGCTTTGACAACAATTTTTGAGTCAGTTGGTTTATTTAGAGACTATGATGGAGTAACTGTTAGATAAATGCTTCCTTCATGACAAGTTAAATATTTCATAATTCTTACCATTTTATTTCTGTTTCAGATATTTGTGGAAAAAGTCTTTTGTTACCATGGAGACGGCAATTATACCACAGATAAAAGAAATAATTAAGAAATGTTTGTCCATAGTGAAAGAGGTAGGTGTGCCTATTCTACTTGCTCTTCAATTTTCATTTAAACCAACTTCCTCCTTCCTTGCAATGATCATAGGTTTCCATAGCAGTTTCTAGACTAAGACATATCGTTGTAGTGTAGTACAGGGATTTGATTTTGTCATAACAAATTTCTAGGATGCAGAGTAGAGGAATCAAGAGCGAAATCCTCTGTTGTGTTGTATCTATCCACTTTGACTTTGTAACTATGACCTTTGACATTGTATCAACCAAATGTTTGTAGTGTTGTAACTATGACCTTTGACTTTGTATCAACCAACTGTTTGTAGTGTTGTTACTATGACCTTTGACTTTGTATTCACCAACTGTTTGTAGTGTTGTTACTATGACCTTTGACTTTGTATCAACCAACTGTTTGTACTGTTGTATCTATGACCTTTGACTTATATCAACCAACTGTTTGTACTGTTGTATCTATGACCTTTGACTTATATCAACCAACTGTTTGTACTGTTGTATCTATGACCTTTGACTTATATCAACCAACTGTTTGTACTGTTGTATCTATGACCTTTGACTTATATCAACCAACTGTTTGTACTGTTGTATCTATGACCTTTGACTTATATCAACCAACTGTTTGTACTGTTGTATCTATGACCTTTGACTTTGTATCAACCAACTGTTTGTACTGTTGTATCTATGACCTTTGACTTTGTATCAACCAACTGTTTGTAGTGTGGTATCTATGACCTTTGACTTTGTATTAACCAACTGTTTGTAGTGTTGTATCTATGACCTTTGACTTTGTATCAACCAACTGTTTGTACTGTTGTATCTATGACCTTTGACTTATATCAACCAACTGTTTGTACTGTTGTATCTATGACCTTTGACTTATATCAACCAACTGTTTGTACTGTTGTATCTATGACCTTTGACTTATATCAACCAACTGTTTGTACTGTTGTATCTATGACCTTTGACTTATATCAACCAACTGTTTGTACTGTTGTATCTATGACCTTTGACTTTGTATCAACCAACTGTTTGTAGTGTGGTATCTATGACCTTTGACTCTGTATCAACCAACTGTTTGTAGTGTTGTATCTATTACCTTTGACTTTATATCAACCAACTGTTTGTAGGGTTGTAACTATGACCTTTGACTTTGTATCAACCAACTGTTTGTAGTGTGGTATCTATGACCTTTGACTTTGTATTAACCAACTGTTTGTAGTGTTGTATCTATGACCTTTGACTTTGTATCAACCAACTGTTTGTACTGTTGTATCTATGACCTTTGACTTATATCAACCAACTGTTTGTACTGTTGTATCTATGACCTTTGACTTATATCAACCAACTGTTTGTACTGTTGTATCTATGACCTTTGACTTATATCAACCAACTGTTTGTACTGTTGTATCTATGACCTTTGACTTTATTTCAACCAACTGTTTGTACTGTTGTATCTATGACCTTTGACTTTATTTCAACCAACTGTTTGTACTGTTGTATCTATGACCTTTGACTTATATCAACCAACTGTTTGTACTGTTGTATCTATGACCTTTGACTTTATTTCAACCAACTGTTTGTACTGTTGTATCTATGACCTTTGACTTATATCAACCAACTGTTTGTACTGTTGTATCTATGACCTTTGACTTTGTATCACCCAACTGTTTGTAGTGTTGTAACTATGACCTTTGGCTTTGTATTCACCAACTGTTTGTAGTGTTGTAACTATGATCTTTGACTTTGTATTCACCAACTGTTTGTAGTGTTGTAACTATGACCTTTGACTTTGTATTCACCAGCTGTTTGTAGTGTTGTAACTGTGACCTTTGACTTTGTATTCACCAGCTGTTTGTAATGTTGTTACTATGACCTTTGACTTTGTATCAACCAACTGTTTGTAGTGTTGTTACTATGACCTTTGACTTTGTATTCACCAACTGTTTGTGTTAGAACTATGACCTTTGACTTTATATCAACCAACTGTTTGTAGTGTTGGAACTATGACCTTTGACTTTATATCAACCAACTGTTTGTACTGTTGTATCTATGACCTTTGACTTTGTATCACCCAACTGTTTGTAGTGTTGTAACTATGACCTTTGACTTTGTATTCACCAGCTGTTTGTAGTGTTGTAACTATGACATTTGACTTTGTATTCACCAGCTGTTTGTAATGTTGTTACTATGACCTTTGACTTTGTATCAACCAACTGTTTGTACTGTTGTATCTATGACCTTTGACTTATATCAACCAACTGTTTGTACTGTTGTATCTATGACCTTTGACTTATATCAACCAACTGTTTGTACTGTTGTATCTATGACCTTTGACTTTGTATCACCCAACTGTTTGTAGTGTTGTAACTATGACCTTTGGCTTTGTATTCACCAACTGTTTGTAGTGTTGTAACTATGCCCTTTGACTTTGTATCCACCAGCTGTTTGTAGTGTTGTAACTTTGACCTTTGACATTGTATTCACCAACTGTTTGTAGTGTTGTAACTATGCCCTTTGACTTTGTATCAGCCAACTGTTTGTACTGTTGTATCTATGACCTTTGACTTATATCAACCAACTGTTTGTACTGTTGTATCTATGACCTTTGACTTTATATCAACCAACTGTTTGTAGGGTTGTAACTATGACCTTTGACTTTGTATCAACCAACCGTTTGTAGTGTGGTATCTATGACCTTTGACTTTGTATTAACCAACTGTTTGTAGTGTTGTATCTATGACCTTTGACTTTATATCAACCAACTGTTTGTAGTGTTTTAACTATGACCTTTGACTTTGTATTCACCAGCTGTTTGTAGTGTTGTAACTATGACCTTTGACTTTGTATTCACCAGCTGTTTGTAATGTTGTTACTATGACCTTTGACTTTGTATCAACCAACTGCTTGTAGTGTTGTTACTATGACCTTTGACTTTGTATTCACCAACTGTTTGCCCCGTTGAAACTATGACCTTTTTACTTTGTATCAACCAACTATTTGTAGTGTTGTAACTATGATCTGTGACTTTGTATTCACCAACTGTTTGCCCCGTTGAAACTATGACCTTTTTACTTTGTATCAACCAACTGTTTGTAGTTTTGTATCTATGACTTTTGAATTTATATCAACCAACTGTTTGTAGTGTGGTATCTATGACCTTTGACTTTGTATCAACCAACACCAACTGTTTGTAGTGTTGTAATTATGACCTTTGGCTTTGTATCAACCAACTGTTTGTAGTTTTGTATCTATGACTTTTGAATTTATATCAACCAACTGTTTGTAGTGTGGTATCTATGACCTTTGACTTTATATCAACCAACTGTTTGTAGTGTGGTATCTATGACCTTTGACTTTGTATCAACCAACACCAACTGTTTGTAGTGTTGTAACTATGATCTGTGACTTTGTATTCACCAACTGTTTGTAGTGTTGCAACTATGACCTTTGACTTTGTATTCCCCAACTGTTTGTAGTGTTGTAACTATTACCTTTGACTATGTATTCACCAACTTTTTGTAGTGTTGTAACTATGACCTTTGCCTTTGTATCCACCAACTGTTTGTAGTGTTGTAATTATGACCTTTGACTTTGTATCAACCAACTGCTTGTAGTGTTGTTACTATGGCCTTTGACTTTGTATTCACCAACTGTTCGTAGTGTTGTAACTATTACCTTTGACTATGTATTCACCAACTGATTGTAGTGTTGAAACTATGATCTTCGACTTTGTATTCACCAACTGTTTGTAATGTTGTTACTATGACCTTTGACTTTGTATTCACCAACTGTTTGTAGTGTTGAAACTATGACCTTTTTACTTTGTATCAACCAACTGTTTGTAGTGTTGTAACTATGATCTTTGACTTTGTATTCACCAACTGTTTGTAGTGTTGTAACTATGACCTTTGACTGTGTATCCACCAACTGTCTGTCTTTGATTTTTCAGCGTATATGTACCAGTTGTCTAGGATACCAGAGTTTCCAGCTGTTCGGCTTTGACTTCATGTTGGATGACGACTTGAAGATTTGGCTACTGGAAATCAATGGAGCACCTGCTTGTGCACAGTAAGTAATATCAACACGGGCAATAACTCTTTCATTCCTGTTTGAGAAACAACAATTTGATCACTGATTACATACAATCATTTCACTCCCGTGGTTGTTACATAGGTTCCTTAGGAGGTTTATATTCAAACCATTTGCAGTTGCTCTCGATGAATGATATATAGTCTTGTGAGGTCATTCTTCAGTATAATAAAAGGTTCTGTGAGTAGTTTATACTTAATAATTATCTTACATGACTGGATATACAATGTCTATCATAATTGAACATTATAAATTTGATTAGGGCTTTTTCTATGCTTCATCTATTAAAGAAAAGCAAGCCTCTTCGGACCTACATTTTGTTTGCTATTGATAGAGGGTTTGATGTGAGACATCGTGATAAACTGTAATGTGACAATACTGTGTGATGATTTTTTACCAATGGACTGGTAGTAGGGAAACCTATTGTAGTTAGGGATAAAAACTGTTAATATTAATTATAACATCAGATCTTTGAGTTGTTACACATCATGTTATCTTGCAATTATATCAGTTTACAGAAAGTTTCATGACTCAAAAACACAAGTAATTGCTTACTGTGGCCAAACTTTAATTTTACCATTACAGGAAGCTGTTGCCAGACCTGGCACGGAGTCTAGTACAGACAGCTATTGACCCGATTTATCCGCCATCAGACCCAGGAGGAAGGGGAGAAAATTGGTTTAATCGTATCACATAATCTAGGAATATAGACTTAGAAGATTATTTTGTTTCGCTGAACATTCCATGTGAATTTTCTTTGACCTGGATGATCCTAGCAAGTTTTTTAATTGTTTAGAAACTTAGTCTCTGGTGTTGTTGTGAAGATGTGTTCTTGATAGTGTTATCTATAGTATCATAGTAAGTAACTTAGGTGATATAAACGGTATGTAAACACTTTGTATGTTAAAAATATGTTGCCCATCGAAAACTACAAGACAAGCACTGTGTTTTCCAGAGTAATGTAATAACACTAAGATTTTACGGACGTCCATCCATCATTCTGTCCTTCCGTCTCTCCATCTGTCTCTCCTTGATCCCTGTAAGCACAACTCCTTCCTAACCGAATGGTTTTTTTTCGTAACTTTACTCAGTAAATGAACATCAAATGTAGATGAGCAGGAAGAAAGGAATTGGTAATTTGACTATTTCTTCTGGAGTTATCGCATTTCAAACTTTCTGCTCCAGAAATCTTGTAGGCCCAACTCCTCCTTAATAGTTTTCTGGAAATTTTTGGCACAGTAAAAATACATCATAATTTTCATTTTGTAAATGAATATTCTGCACATGTATTACTGCAAAATGCAAAACTATGTATACAGGGGGAAATCAGTGTAAGTCTTTAAAGACTACATGAGGCCTTAAGTCTGAGCTTTTTTCCTGTCATTTGCTGAACATGTGCTGAAGGGCTATTCAATCAAATAGATAACATTGACCCACTTAAATGCTCTATTAAACTATTTTGAGTCCCCTTGGCTTAAGGCCAATGTTCCTCATCTTACAAAAGAAAAAAACTGGGTGCATGATCAATTGGTATGTGCACATAAAGTTAATACAAGATAATGTGAATCTCATTATATTAGCTCAATATATGTTTTATATTGTTTACAAAAGGTCACTTTACTGAGAAATCCCTGTCTGTTTAGTCACTTGGATTGAGTGGACATCTTTTATCTTAGCAAGACAACATACATGAGATGAAGACACAACCATCAACATTGATGGAGCCTTCGTAATAATAAGAAGAATGTGGTGAGGATCCCTGTCCTGCTGCAGTGGGATTGTACACAGTAACCTCCCTTCAACTTTCGTTTAGATACAACTGTCTGCAGCACAATTTGACTAGGACACTTCTGCTGTCCAGGTAGCTCAATCTTTAGAGTGATTCCTGGTCTAGCCCTGCAAATATTTTACACTCACATCTCTTGTTGATTAATATTTTGTTTATTTTATATCCATTATTTCTCATACAAGTCCGGCAAGGTATGGTTTTCTTCTCAAAAATGGTTTATCAAATAAAGCTTTAAGTCATATGCAGGAAAAACCATTTCCAATATTTCGTTACAGTGTTTGGTGCAGGGATCCTTAAGTTTATATATCCGTAGAGAGGCTGCCTGTGATATGATTATCCCTTTATTTCTGTTAGATACTGGTGACGTCGCTCAGGGGAGACAACACCTCGGACACTCACACAACTAACACAGTGGCTGTCAAAAATGATCCAAACAAGGAACTTCAAAAATCAGTGTCACAGGTTTATTCTGAGAAATTTTGATATTTATGTTTGTTTATTTGAAAAAAAATAAGAAAAATAAACAGATGGCATAATGGTCCTGTAACGCTCATTACTAATGATGACTAAAGTAAAACCTGGATGGGCTTTATGTTGGTTTGTCAGAAAATGCAGTGTGTGACAGGACCATAACACCATTTGTTACTAGGTAAACCATTCATTGCTTATATTTACATTTTTTTAGAGTAGTTATACTTTATTAAGTTATCTCACTCTCCTAGCTCAGTGAAATTCTTACAAAGTTAAGTCAGTGGTTTCCTAGTCAGATTAGTGATGTGACAGTAGTGGTCATGTGACTTAATGGTGTTAAAGTCTTAACAACACATGTATTGTACCCTCTGTGGATTGTAATGGGAGAATGTAGAACAAAGGATTTATGTAAATAGTGGTTTGTATGGGTATATATTGGTTTTAAAATGATGATTAAGGAATGATAGAAATCAACTTTTTTGAAATATTTTTGTAAACTTTTCATATGCTACCGGCACTTAATTTTTCACAAACACTTATTTACGTGATTGGTCTTCCAACAACATATTCACAGGGATTTGAATTCAGGAATGTGAGATATTTGAATTTAGCTCTTCCTGTATCAATGCGAAATAAATATGAAGTGATTTATTGTTTGCGCAATGTGCGCAAACAATAAAGTGCGCAAAATGTTTCATTAAAGATATTTATAGGCTTCTGATGGTGTAGAACTCTTTTTGAAGAGAGACTTTAGTTACTGTAACCACTGTAGCATATCTCCTTAATCAGTAGCATTCTATTGCATAATGTAAGTCATGTATTGTGTCACTTGTATTAGGATTCAAAATGGTCGTCTGAGAACAATAACCCTGTCAATTATAAAGACCAAGATCCTTGTTATTGTATTTTTTTTAAGATTATTTTTATATGCCCGTCGAAGACGGGGACGTATTATGTTTTCACGTGAGCGGGCAGGCGGGCGGGCGGG